GGAGGATTGCTCAATTTGCCCATCCATGTGTACAGCGCTGATTGACTCTGACGTGAATATGCTGTCGAACTCAAAAAAAAATCTGTTGATGTCCTGATATGAGTTGCTTCAGGCTGTACGGTTCTACTGAGTGATAAGTGGCGACTCTAGTTGTGGTGAGATGTTCGTACTAATGAAAACAACATGAAGGCTTTCAGATTCAACAACACAGGATGCGCTGAAGCTCCCGAAACTTCAAGTATTGCAATTTGTGTATAGCACATATACACCCACGACGACAGATGAAGAGGAGTAGGAGCCTACCGTGATGTAGCCGGGCTTTGACGGGGTTGTCATCACTTCATACATACAGAGATCGCCAACCCCGACTTCAACGAGTCTGAACTCCGTACCAACAGTGGAATCATTCGAGGAGCATTCGACCTGATAGTTGCTAACGAAGAAGTGAATTTAAACAGTGTTTCATCCGTTTTACGTGAAGTGGCGTAATACTTTGTGAAAAACGCGATATTCTCGCTATACAGTAGTCGTGAAATATATTTTTCACATCACTAGGGTGGTGAAACTCCAACATACTCTCTTACTGGTTGCCACCGTTGACCATTCTTAGACCAGCTCATGCACGACTCGACAACGCCGTACTCCAGCAGTCGTCCGTCTGAACTGAAGAAATCGGTCGAGTGAGGCGACAGGGCAGGTCGGGCCAGCAACCGAAAGGTCTGCCGCAGAGCATGCCTGAGGCAATAAACTGCCTATGATGATAAAGATAAGATAAATAGCAGATTGTCCAATTTTTCTTTTTGCTTTTGTTTGCAATTTTTTATATGAATGAGAAATCATCACAAGCCCAGTCCGAACGTTCATTAAGAGCCTCTGTTGTTGTTACGACAACAATCAGCTGCTCACCTACTCTCGATAATGCGTCTTGAACTGTCGCGATATGCTCTTGTCAGTGCAGACCACGCACAAGCCTGCAACGCCAACTTCAACATTGATCGGGAAGTACCTGAATACCACACTTTGTCCACATCTACAGTGCGTGCTAATTTGATATGCGAATGTGCGTTATTTTTCTAAGGCTAATAAGACTCAATCTGAAACTATATCGCATATACAATATAACAATGGCTATGAACATGTGTTGTGATGAAAGTACCCGTTTGGGACTGTGATGATAGCGACAACTTGTTCATTATAATTTGTCTTCCAAAATAACACACATTTGCATATCAAATTGACACGTACTGTATGATTATTGGCTTACAATTTGCCGTCCCTCAATCGATCCCGTGGTTGGTCAACCTCGTCAGGTAATGGAAGGTCTTGCTTCATGCGATCGAGCTCCTCGTTGTGACCGGAGTGGATCTCTGGGCTCGAGTTGTCGGGCAAGAACGGGGTAACTGTCGGGTCAATTGTGAGAAATATGATTATTATTTGCAGCAAAGAATTGAGGGGAATTTTTTCCTCGACGACCCAGTAGTGAACTGAAGAGGAGCTCAGCTGATCAGCTGTACTCTGTATGGTTGAAAGCCTCAAGGACATACGCATATGCGAGCGACGTCGGTGAACAGCTCAGCGAGTATGTGACTGTACTCAGTGTGCCACTGCTCGCTAGAGCGATCTTGTCGGGCTTGGAGCCCATTGTTAACCTCGTTTTGGTGGGTATAGCACATCATTTTAATGAGATACTATCGATAAAGAAGATGTTGGTTGCTGAGTTGTGTGATGTGATTCGGCATGTATGATACTGTGGTAATATTATTGCCCGGAATTCCAATCTTCGATATCCCACAACGTTTGCCGTGGGGGAATTCATTCACCGTCGTGAGTGAGTTGAGTTCTATCCTCCATTTGTCTTTGATGAAAAACTCCAAAAGCACTTCCGCAATATGACAGACTCGGATCAACAGAGGAAAAAATATACGGGAAAAGTATCCAAAAATGAGAGAAATGCAGTCAACACGTGAGCGATGTGAAGTGACTCCCTCCGACCTACAGGTAGTTTCTAATGAAGGCCTCCCAAGAGTCGTCCCATCGTTCCTCATAGACCACCCGTAAGGCTTGTACACAACACAATAGCGATGCTCCCAAGTATTGAATACCACTCGAGGAAGCAGTGATGTGTGCTTTGGTAACCGAACAGGACGCGACAGCTGCCATCGACCAAGTGGAGACAACATTCCAACTTGCAACATATGGTAGAGTACTCTCGCGACTGTGGTCCTCAGTTTTTACCAAAACCATAAAAGCTACTTATATGGAACAAAAAGAATCGGATCGTGCAGCTGATGGTATGAGCAGTCTTCGATCAACACAACCAGCATCAGGTAGCAGCAATAATTGCTGCTACTTGGTAACGGATCGTGCAGCTGCAGTATTGTACTTGAAACTATTGAACTTCTACTGTTGAAAAATTTACAGTGTGAGGGGAAATATGTACATGATGAACTACACGTCGGTAACGGAAATTTTTTGGGAAATTTTCGGCAAATTTTTCGGAAAATTTCGGGGAATTTCTGTCGGTATCTGGAAGAGACTTTCGGTGCACTTCTACGTCGAAAAATTCGTATGTAATTAGCGAAGAAACTTCTAAGCTAGGGAAAGCAAGCATTTATTCCAACAGTTCAGAGGCTGGGGCGGCTATGCCACCACTCCAAGATATACCTTAGTACAATCAATTTCTCTGCCCGGGGCAGCTATGCCACCACCACAAGGCATGCCTTAGTACAATCAATTTATCAACCTGGGGCAGCTATGCCACTGCCCCAAGATATGCCCTAGTACAATCAATTTCTCTATCTGGGGCGGTTATGCCACTACCCAAAGATATGCCTTAGTCTAACTCCAATTCTACTGAGTTGTCGATTCAATTCCGCTATTAGTAAGGCCGATTCCATTCGAGGGGCAGATATGCCATACCTCGACTACAACGCGCGTATCCTTTTGGAAGAGAAAACTCTGGCGGTTATTCAGCAGCAGCTATCAACTCCTAGGAAAAGAAACCAGTCCTGAGATAACAGCACCATGATTACAGTAAGTACCATGCTATTCCGTAGCTGGTCACAGCAGTAATCAGCTCAATCCTGATGAGGACTTCTCACACACTGGCAAACACAAAGCAAAGATGAGGTGGTAATCCTACCGCTGGGCAACTTAGAAACCGATGGGTGGAACGAATGAGTACAGGGAAAGTAACAGAATGATGGACTAAGAGAAAGGTGTCGGGCTTCTCCCAACATAGAGCGTTACCCAATGGGTTATTAATGTGCCCAAATATGCGAGACGGGCCAAGGAGAATGACGAAAATGGTCCTGATAAGCGCGGCAGTCGGGAACATCTCATTTAAACGTTGGGAGTGTT